TTGTCACAGGAATCATTCTTGTACATGTCATTCATTATAAAACAAAGATTTTTTTGAGCCTTTTCTGTGCCAGAAACTATGCTAGGAGCTCTGCATTGCACAGTCTATGCTTTCAAGGTGCTTACCATTGAGTGGAAGAAAAAAAAATAAGTGAAAAAAGTATATGTGGCATTATTGAGACAAACACTTGGGTGCTATGGCAGCACCTGGAAGGACTAGTTATTGCAGTTAGAAGTGATTCTAAGCAGAGCTGATGCAAAATGGATCTGACTAGGGGGTCAGTGTAGATTGGTGATCAGTTCCTGGCTCCATTGTGGTATCATTCACAGGTCAGGGAATATAAGAGGGTGTGCAGAATTAGGTTGGAAGTACAAGTAACTGGACTTCATTTCTGGATATTTTCTGTTTTAATTACCTATGGAATATGTAGGTAGAGAAGCCTAGTGAAACATAAGTGGGTAAGAATTCTGGTGAGAGATATTATGTCAGTCATCTTTGTATTGGTGACAAAAGCTGAGTCACTTAAAATTAATAGAAAATAGCAGTAGCCATTTGCCTTCTTTTCCCCCATTCTCCTCCTGTTTTTTTTTTTTAAGATTTATTTATTTATTTATGATAGACATAGAGAGAAAGAGGCAGAGACACAGGAGGAGGGAGAAGCAGGCTCCATGCCGGGAGCCCGACGCGGGACTCGATCCCGGGACTCCAGGATCGCGCCCTGGGCCAAAGGCAGGCGCTAAACAGCTGAGCCACACAGGGATCCCCTGTTTGGTTTTATTCTTCATGTTTACCATTGTTTTCTTTACTTATATTTTCAGCTATACCTGGCCTTATTCTTATATGAGGAGGCCTGCCTAAGAGACTTACTGCAGAAATGCAGAATGATAAAATTAGACTATGAGAAATTAGGTAGTGTGAACCGTCAGAGCTTGCCTAATACTCAAAATAAATAAAAATTTTATAGAGGGACATGAACATTTAAAAAAATTATCTTCTGGCAAGTACTACTGGTTTGAACAGTTAATGCAACAGCAGACTTTATTGGATGATTTGTCTTCAAGGCTCCAAGGGCCTGTGTTTAAGCCAAGGGTTGCACTGAATAAAGTAGAATTAGGCAAAAATCATTGGCCCAACTACTAGCCTGCTGATGGTCTGCCTTGACCAGAGGCTTGCGTGATATTCAAAGAAGATTTATAATATAATATATCAATTTGGTTCTTTTTAATAGAAGTTAGTAATGAATAGGGCAAGGTAATATCTCTAGTGATGGCCTAGAGTTGGAATATTTTTTAGTACTATCACTAGCAGATCTGTTTCTTACAAAGAACAGTAGTAGGATATATTATGTGGACTTAATCTATGTGCTCTGCTTTAGCAGACCCGAGAACTCTAAGTCAGCTATGAATTCAATAGTAATTTTTCCTCTATATGCATGTTATTAATAATTTTAAATAGGAGCAATTTGCTTTACTGTAGATTTGTGACAATTACTTTTAAATGGACTGAGGAGAGTTATTTTATTCTTTAAAACAAGACTTGTAAGAGCTGAGCCAGAAAGGCTTTCCTGGACTGTGGCTGGGAATTGAGAAGGTTTAGCACCCTGAGGGTGCCCTGTGCTTCATTTAATGAATTGGTAGGAAATTACAGGTGCCAACCACTGGGTTTGACTAAAGATAGTGCTCGTGACTGTTGCACTATTGATTCTGAAAATAACCAAGTTGCCAAGTTCCAAGAGAGAGCATTGTGAAACCAAGCCATCATCTTGGCAGGTACTTGAACCTGCCTCTGAAGTTTATAGTTACATTCAGAAATTGAAGCCATCCTTTGAACAATGAAGAAAAATATGAAATTTTTTTAAGTCAATAAAAGTTACAAACATATATTAAAATTATTTTTAATACTGCTTTTTATAGTATCCAGAGTGTTGGGATGAAAAAACAAGCCAACCAACCAACATACAAACATGCAGGGGTGATATTTGGCTGGTTATATACCGGTACAGCCCTCTGGGTGTTTACAGCTGATATTCATTCAGTTTGGTCAGAGTATCTGTTCTCATTTGTTAATGTCTCTGTTTCAGAATTTGTTAAATAATTTTAGCATCATCTGTGGGTTTATATACAACTGAAGGATATTCAAGTCGGGCAGGAAGGGTGTAGGTAAGAGTCAGTCAGAGTTCTATCCATCTGTATACCCCTCTTGTAAGAAAGGACATTCACATTTGTGTTTCTTTGTCAAGACGTCTAAACCATGCACCATAAATCCTGACCTAACTAAAATATCCCTCTTCCAAGATACCTTTTTTGAGCTCCTCTATGCAATGTTTATGTCTTCTTCCAAATATATAAAGTATATTGTCTATATATCTGATAAGCCAGTAATCATTGTTTAGCTTGTGATAGACTTATAGCCATTAATACTCTCCACTAAGAGCCTGTTTTTCATTGTGGTTTGAATACTCATTTGTTCATTTAATTCTTACAACAGTTCATTATGGCTTTGGTCTAATTACCTCCTTTTTTTTTTTTTTTTTTAAACTAGAAGCTGAAGCAGGGACAGGTTCAGGAACATTTCCAAGGTCCAAATTTTAAATGCAATTTGATAATGTTTTCAATGATGTTTAGGTAGAATTGAAATAATAATCTTAACACTGTATGTTACATACTTAATGGTTTAAAGAGTCTTTTTAGAAGATTGGCCTAGCCATACAGACTTCAACTGGAAAAATTTAAGACGAAGTGTACTCCCAGGTTTCAGATACCTTCCTCAAAGAGAAAGTCATGTAGTATGGTGTTTGGAGCAGAGGTTTAGATGGTCACACACATCTGAGTTTGCGTGCTTTTTCAGGCACTTTATAGGCAAGTGACTGGGTTATGTCAAGAAACTTCTTTAGCCTCCATTTTGGAATTTGTAACATGGGGTTAATAGTAGAACTTACCTCCTCTCCCATAGTGAAGTTTTTACAAGTGACACTCTCAGGCCAAACACTCAGCCTGACACATCTAGTGCTCAAATGTGTTAGCTGTCATCTGGCTATCGGTCATGCACTTGGGGATCAACATGGGAACTACACGTGTCCTTACAGAAGAAAAGCTGTTGCATAGCGTTCATGATGGTAGATCCTCAACCCCTCTCCTTCTGTACTCCAGCTGGGTGAGGAAGAAGGCCTCATCTGCAAGGGAAGGAGGAGGAGGAGGAGAAACCCGATGACAGTGAAGGACAGGAAAACCAGGCTTGTGTTCAGGTCCTCTTGGGACTTTCAGAGCTCCTTTTATCATCTCATTTTACCTGAACATTTTGAGAATTCTTAATTGAAAATAACTGGTATTCAAAATTGTGTTCTAGGGCAATTGGTCCTCTAAATCCGTTGACTTACACTCTTCACTATTTTGGATGATTCATAGCTGGCTCAATTTTGTTTGCATTTAGATAACTAAGAAGACATTTTATTTATTTATTTTATTTATTTATTTGTTTTATTTTTTTATTATTATTTTTTTTTTTGATAGTCACACACACACAGAGAGAGAGGCAGAGACATAGGCAGAGGGAGAAACAGGCTCCATGCACCGGGAGCCCGATGTGGGATTCGATCCCGGGTCTCCAGGATCGCGCCCTGGGCTAAAGGCAGGCGACAAACCACTGCACTGCCCAGGGATCCCTAAGAAGACATTTTATAATAGTATAGACATTGCAGGTAAATGCTATTTATATTTTCAGGTTCATTAATTCAGCTGCAGATTATGTGCCTACCTGGTGGAAGGCATCATGCTAAGTGGAAGTTTGTAATGGTAAACAAGTAGCACCAGCCTTTATTGACTTTAGATTCTAAGGAGAAAGGAAGATGTCAATCCCACAACTAAAGAAAGAATTTACACAGTTTGAAAAATGCCATGATGGAAGTAAACTGAGTACTGTGAAGAGTGCAGATGGCCAAAAAAGCTGTACTAGATAGAGTGGTTAGGGAGGCCTTTTTGAGGACCAAGACTAAGCCAAGACCGAAGAATGAAGGTGGATTGATGACATGAAAAGAGGATGGAGGGAGAGCACTCCAGGCTAGGAAGTAGCATGACCAAAGGCATCAAAAAAAAAAAAAAAAAAAAAAAAAAAGAAGAAGAAGAAGAAAAAGAAAAAGAAAAGAAAAGAAATTATTTCATGGGACTGGTATATAATTCACAAAGAAAAGAAGCCATGATAAGAACTATTGATTTTATTCTCAGTTCTATGAGATAGTATTTAAGAGATTTAAGCTAAGGGATGACATGATCCCATTTCTGTCTTTAAAAAATAAAAAAAAAATCCCTGTGGCTGGAGCATGTCTAATGATTGGATGAGGTCAAATGAAGCTGGGATAGCACAAAACATGTTATTTGGTCCAGGCAGGAGATAATTGTGAGTTAGATTAGACTGGGTGGGGATTATGAGGAGAAACAGGTTATGGATGAGCTAGGCAAAAAAGCAAAGTTTGTATTTTATCTTTCTCCCGTATTTTTAATACTTATTTCATCGCCAACTGTTCATTGTCATTGTCCCACCATATGAGTAAAGCATTCGACATGAAAGAGAGAAATCCTGTTACCTAGTTAAAGAAGTTAAATTTCTTTATTTGCAAATTGAGGTCATGCAAGAGGTAGATTGTCATTCCTCTTGTTAAAATTTGTCTACATTTCTTTTATTCATTCCCTCATCCATTCAACCAATATTTGAATAACTTGTAAGAGTCCAAATGTTGCATCCTTTATTAAATGCGTGGCTTTGATTGTTTGTTTTTCATGTAAACGACAACAAAAAATGGTTCTCCAGGAAAATGATAATCGTTGATTTTACTCTGGGACTTTTCCTTACGGTTTTAGGACTCCTTTATTTCCCTAAATTTCGTCTTTCTGGTGGATAATGATGTTTAATCAAGATAACTTTTCTTCAGAATTTGAACTGGAGTTTGGAAAACGTTAAGTATCAGGCTCAACCCACTTTCTGTTAATTCTTCTATTTTCCAATAGAAAAAAGAAAAAGCCTCTGTCATGATACAGAACAATGCTTACGCGGTGGCTGTTGCCAATTATGCCCCGAATCTTTCAAAAGACCCAGTTCTGTCCACCATCTCCAAGAGCGCAACCACGCCAGAACCCAATAAGAAGCCGGAAAACAAGCCAGCGGAAGCCAAGAAAACCTTCAACAGTGTTAGCAAAATCGATAGAATGTCTAGGATAGTTTTCCCAGTTTTGTTTGGTACCTTTAATCTAGTTTACTGGGCTACGTATTTAAACAGAGAACCTGTATTAGGGGTCAGCCCTTGAATCTAGACGCAGGTTATCTTTGGGATGTATAGCGACATAAAACCTTGTTTGTTTTGCTGTACAGTCTGACTAATAACTGCTAATTTGTGAGCCAACATGTACAGTGTGTATATAGCCACCGAGCTCACCAGTAGACCTCTAACGGAGACACGCACCTGCTACCTTGTGGCACCGCAGGCAGAGAGCACCCCATACCCAAAGAGCCATTGCCTTTTTGAAAGATTGATCCCGGGAACTCGTTTAAAGTGGATTTCACATGACCTGACTTGATTCCTACTGTTCCAACAGTGATGAAGATGGGGATCCTATACCACACTTTGTGAACCCTTTTGACTTAGGTCTTAAATAGGATTATTTTCCACTGTTGCCCTTTACGTGACGTAACACTGTCCTTCCGAGGCGAATCCTTCCAAGTCCCAGAACCTCGTATCTGCGACATCAGTTCCCTTCATTAAGTGCTCAGAATCCCTGCTAGTGTAATTGGAAGCTTAGCACACATCAGAAGAAAAACTAGAGACCTGAAATCAGCTTTTAATTACTCCGCGTAGCATCTATAGCACATGTTACCGCATGACAAGCTCAAATAATTACGAGTCACTCCTGACAGGATGTTAATTATGCCTAGAATTTAGTAACCATCAGAATGTCATGGTCATTACATTTTAGCATCAGAGTTTATTTGAGAGTGATAATTGAAATCCTACAGGTTATTTTAATCATTGGAAACTACCTTAAACTAAAAAAATAATAATAAAAACAAAAGACAAACGTGTCTTACCCTTTCCAGGTATGTGTTGTATCGAAATTGATCAGCTAAATTTTCTTGGTGCTGGAGACTGGACAAAGCATCCAGCTTGGCTGCTGTGGAGCAACGTTCATACTGGATTAGAAAAGTGTGCCAAAAACTCCCACCGGTGAGAATTCCTAGGTGTCCCAGCGTATCGATGAGCACTTACACGATTCTCCTCTTTCCTGTTTACTGCAAATTTTGCCTTAAGGCTTCTCGTCATCAGGACTCAGAAGCCACTAATTACAAAGGAAAGGGCAGTTAGTTGGCACATTTTTCTGTCTTGAAGCAGTGCTTTCAGATAAGAATTAATGTAAATCTGCTTTTGTAAATCGCAACTTTAAATTAAACTGACTCAAATTTACAACAGCTTTGTATACCAGAAGAGGTTTTGGTAAGAGTTGAACATTTTTAAACAGAAACTTTAAAGCCTCACCAACAGATTGTGGATTAATTCACACGCACACATATAAACGAGTGTGCGCATGTGCACACACTAACTAAATTAGAACACACACACACAAATAGCTAAATCGGAAACCAGTTTGCAATTTTATATAATTACTAATTATTAATGAGTAAAATTCATTTTCTTTTAATATTTAAAATATACTCTCTATACCCCCTGAAATGCATTAATAGAGGTTAACAATTGTGTCTCATGCCTAGATTTAACATTTTTGGCAAATCCAAAATCCTTTTAACTCACATCTACATTAGCAGTTATTAGTTGACTTTTACTAATAGATACACCTTTATGATGGTGTTTTTGTAGAAACATAAGTAGTCCAATAGTGGCATTTCTTGCAGTTTTGTACAGTATTTCAGTATAGTGCATAAATAAGTATGTTCATAAAATCAAATAAAAGGAGTATCTTACGGAAATAAGAAAAATCACAACAAAAATTGCTGTTCATTTGCCTCGTTTAAATTTCTTTTTTTTTTTTTTCATTTTCTTTGTTTTAGTGTGATTCTATTATGTGCTTTGCATGACTGTATTAATACCAAGGTCACAAAATGCATCTTATTAACAGAATTTGCCGTGAAGACAGCCTCGACATTAAAAATTCCCTCACCAAAGGTAATCCATAATCCTTAATAAAATTGTTACATGAGCTAATAAATGTATTTCTTTAATTCCCTTCCAGTTACAGCTTCTTTCTCATCTAAATAGTTTTAACATGTGCACTTTATTTATACATTGAAATGGAACATATCCTATTTTCCTACACATTTAAGTGTAGCCTAGACCCTCTGTAGAGTTTAGGAAAGTGTGCAAGAGTCTAAGAAAGTGCACCATGCTTTTGAGGGCAAGCAATAAAAATGCTGTGTATGGTATGCACTATTAGACACTTTAAAAATATTGTTCTTATAAGTTACGCATTTCCCCCTTTTTTATTTTTTATTTTTTTACGCATTTCCCCCTTAATGTCGGACTATAAATTACAAATTTATAAGTGTGTACATATGTAAAAAATAGTTGTAAATAGCAGTTTCTGTGTGACAACAGAAAAGATTCATCTTTACCTTTGACAAAGGGCTGCACCTACATTGATGGCACCAGTTTTATTAACATTTATGGTAGATTGGCCAGAAAAGTTATTGTCATTCTTATTTTTAGTTTCAATTGCCAAAATCCCATTCGAGCTTAAAAATATCCTTAAAGTTCAGATCTTCAGGTAATGTAGATCAGAATTTTCTCTTATTTTGCCACTTTGCTGTATTTTTTTATGCACTTCTTAATCTTTTAAAGTTTAGATAAATCAAAGGGAGCTTTTGGTCTTACTGGAGAGAGGGAGGATGCTCCATGGAAAATGATTTTAAATTCTAGAAAGAACCATCGTGTTTACAATTATTCTCCCTTCCATAAACCTGTCTGAAGATGCAAAATAAAAGTGACATGAATTTATTAAAATAAGACCAACTTTTCAGGAAATATATTTTTAATAAACCAACAGAGGTCTCCTTGGCCCATAATATCATAATATGATGCCTATTTTATGCAGTTGTACCTTGACATAAAGAGTTATGGTATGTACAAAATGTAGATAAATACATGTGCATATACAGAGATAAAGTCTCCTTATTGTATAGCTGCTGCTCTGATTCAGCTAATATTTATTCAACAAATATTTTTTTACCTCCTACTATGTGCCATGCCATGGGGATGATGTTACTAACACTCATATCACACCCACAGAATTTAGTTGAAAATTAAAGTCCATCTTCTTCTAAAGACTTAAGATCAAAGGCTAAATGGAACACATGTATTAATTTAGCACTGAGAGTTGTTCAAATAAGCTATAAGATCATGAGTGTGTTACGATAGTGGCTGCTTTGTTTTTTCCTCCTATTTGTGTTCCTATTTTTTAATACAAAAATGGAACAAATATAACCATTTAGTAGTGATTTTAAACGTCAGTGATTTTTAAAATGCCAGTGTTACTATTTAGGTATCTTCAGGGATCTCTCTCGAATTTATCTCAGGTGTGGATAAGTGATCCCTTCAGTGATATTTCCTTTTTTTTTTTTTTCTTAAATGTTTCACGGTTTATTTAAAAAGAACACAGACGCTATTATCTCACTCATATTTTTGTTATATCTCCCTTGTGTGTTTATGATGCGATTCTTTTTATATTCCTGGCTAGGGAACTGAACTCTGTCTGCTATGGTATCATAGATTCTAGAGGGGCGCCAACGCTCTGTGAATACTGTACTTTGGCGTGGCCTGGTATCATTTCAATGGGAGGACAAGGGAAGTAAGTCAAGTCACCTTTTGCAAAGTCATGGTTCTTCAGCATCGATTAGGACTTTTTTCAAATGCTCCATTCCTGATGTCTCAGACAATGCCAGTGAAACACTGAAATGTTTATTATTTAACTTGAAATCCGAGACCATGTCAATAGGCTTATTAATATGAATAGGTTTACCAAACCTATTAATATGAATAGGTTTACCAAACTGTATAGGTTGTCCCTGTTGTTAGTCTTCTGGCATTCCTACATGCATTTGCGTATTTTTGAAGCAGTTTGAAGATTTTTTTTTCATATAAAAGATTCAGAATTTCAAGGGAATCAAGATGACCCATTGCTACCCTGTAGTACATTTATTTTCATTTTTTAAAAATTTAAATTCAATTAACATATAGTGTATGATTAGTTTCAGAGGTAGAGGTCAGTGACTCATCAATTGCGTAGAACACCCAGGGCTCATTACATCACATGGCCTCCTTCATCCCCACCACGCAGTTGCCCCATCCCCCCACTCCCCTCCCCTACAGCAACCCTCAGTTTGTTTCCTATGATTAAGAGTCTCTAATGGTTTGTCTCCCTCTCTGATTTCATCTTTAGTTTTCCCTCCCTTCCCCTATGCTCCTCTGTTTTGTTTCTTAAATCCCACATATCAATGAAATCATGTGATAATTGTCTTTCTCTGATTGAGTTAATTTGCTTATTAGCATAATACCTTCTAGTTCCATCCAGTTGTTGCAAATGGCAAGATTTATATAAAAAGGTACAGAATTTCGAGGGAATCAAGCTGACCCATTGCTATTCTGTAGTGCATTTATATTCCTTTTAATTGAGGTCTCATGGGCACCATGGGTTTTCCTCTTACTAATCCAGAGTATATCGAAGTGTACCATTTAAACTGGGGAGGGCTGTGGTTATTTTTAATATCCGTGGTTGGAAACCAGAGACACTGTATCAGAATCACTCATAACAGTGTGCACAAGTATGATCTTTTTTCTTTTTTGAAATCATACTTTAAAAGATGAAATCCAGTACAAAATGAAATTTTTAATATCTATAATATTTTATAACCAACATTTGTATAAAAGATGCTACTGTTTTCCATTAGTGTAATCACTCCTATTTTCATCATTCAAAAACAAATTCAAGACCTCAAAAACAGGGAAATAAATATCAAAGAGAAAAGCCCACTAGAAAAAAAATGAGGCTGTTGCTAATTAAACTTAGTGAAGCAGTTTCCCTTTTTAACTCCCAAGAAAAGGGAGAAATTAAACATGCAGAAGTGTACGCAGAAATGTTTAACAGTTACGATTCCATCATGGTAAGCATCATGATTAAAATAACTAAGAGAAATGAAGTTCATGTGAAGGCATACAAGGAAAGGTAATCAAAATATTACTCAAAATCTATTTCTTCTAACAATTTTGTGTCATGTTTTTCTTAAAAATTCTTAATCATCCAACATATTTATACCACTGTTTTCACCTTTATTTAGTTGAAATATTCTATATTTGTCTGTATATATATAAAGAACATTTTCTCATATACATAATTATATACCCCACGTTAAATCACTTTATGTTGTAGCTGATACATACCATCAGTTAATATTATTGCCAGTAGGGAAGGATAACCCATAGATGTTTCAGTTTATAGTAATGTCCCAAAGAACACTCAGTAAGTTCTTAGATTTGATTAGAAGTGTGTGTGTGTATGTGAGTGTGTGTGTGTGTGTGTGTATGTATTTTCAGGTGTGAAAGAACATTTTGAGAAATTCGGATAATTTTACGAAATCTAAACAATTTATTTTATTAATTGGATCCAATCTCAAGTGTAGCTCTTATTAACTACCAATTGACGTACTCCATAGTTTTTTTTTTCAATAGATCCATAACAAACTTATTGGAATTTAGTCTTGAGCCACATGTATGGTTAGAAATAGTGTTCCTATAAAGTTGTGAACATCTTTCTGATGTATTTCTGGTTGGCTCAAATGACTTCACAATTCTGTTTGTAAGGCAGGATAGGAAAATCTTTGAATTCCAAGTTTGTAAATGGAGGTTTGTGAAAGGTTTCATTAAGTTAAATATCTGGTTGATCATGTGCAAATGCCTAGTCATCTATATTCATTACTGGTTAGTCTCATACCTTTTTGAATTGAAATGGTTCTGAGTTTCTTCTTACAAGAGCTCATCACATGCTAGTCGAAATTCCAAGCCCTTCACATAGAGTACCTCATTCAGTCCTCACAACAACCGGAAATCACTGTGTGATTCTTAAAATTCTGGAAGTTTAGAATTTCTATATAGCACACCAACATGCTAGTCTAACACATATTTTAGACAAAAATTTTTTTAAAGCTGTATTTTTCTTTGCTTTAATTCAAATTTATATTCATGCCATTTGGGGATCATCGATCCATTGAAAAGTCCACTATCTGCTTTTCTATATGCCAAACCAAGCAAACACTGAACCATACAGCAACCAAGAAACCATTTTTGTGAAACTAGTTATTCACAAACATTGGTTACAACTTAGTTTCTAGGAGTATGTTACATTTTTCTTTTTTGAACCATGGGCAATTATAGTGTATAAAATTCTTAAAATTGATTAAACACATTCTTCATTTTGTGTTCTTCTCCCCCACCCCCATTTTTTTCTAGTCTTGTTAGGGGGTCAGAGAGGTTTTGTTTTATTTGCTAGATGGTTGGTTTCATGACATTTAAACTCATTGGATTTAAAGGATTATGTATTGATTTCATCCATTTATTGCAAGCTACTATTAATGGAAAGAAATCTAAACTGACCCCAAATTCATGTCAGAGTTGGGACTGTTAGTGTTGAAATAGCTCAGTTGATGGGAAAATTTCAGTTTGTCATGCTTCGTTTTAAAAGACTTACTTCACCATCACATTGCTAATTCCAGCCTTAATATCAGTGTATAAATATGAGTCTTTCCAACAAAGTTCATTTTTGAGAACAAATGATTTAGGAAAGCAAACCAAAGGATTTAGATACAGAAGTACTTTAGAAATAATGGCTGGTAGATTCGTTCTCATTTATTTATTTTAAAAACACTAACATAGTAGTTGAAGCACTTGGTTGTGTTCTAGACTCTGCATAATATGTGAAGACGTCTAATGTATGATTAGAATGGCCTAAATGAAACTGAACCTTGAGCCACAATTTTTATGAATTAAACTTTAACATCCAGGATAAGTCCTTGATTACTTATTGATCTTAGGTGCCTGCTCCATAATTGATTTCAAGTTTGTTGATATCCTGTTTTTCTCCATCTTCTTCTGAACAGATACAAATTCAGGTTTTGATGTGCTGTAAAATGAGAAATGTGACCTTTCATGAAATATTCCCTTTAGAGTTGACGTGCGTGAAAACTTACAAAAGCTTTGTATTTGTTGGTAAATTTGGAGAAGAAAAAAAAAACTCAGAAAGGAAGTGTTTTCCCCTTGCTACACATAAATAACAAAATTACATGCATAGAGAATGCATGATACAGCTCCAACTCTAAACTTTAAATATTCACATTAGGTGAAATTTGAAATTTTCTGGGTGACAGTATACTTGTATGGTAGGTTTTCTTGTTTGAGAAAATCATTCGAGAGCCAATAATATTTGTAATTTGTGACCTTGTTGTAATTGGGAAAAG